AGACAAATTTTTATTGACCGAACGAACACGTGCGCTTGGCAATCGATGCGCTTCTGAGGCTATTGTCGAAGAGGATATACCCGGTACGTGATCTACGTGCTCGTTTAGACACCGCAGACACTTAAAACTTTACACCGAAGAAGTCCAAACGTGGGAGAAATGGAAACTGACGTTCCAGTAACCTCGAAGGCCTGCCAAAGCAAGCTCAATGGCCTCCAAAAACAGCCAATAGGCCACAGTGACCGCTGAGAGTTACCCAGGTCTTTATGGACTACTATCGCTGCCTAAAACGCTTCCAGTGAGGTTTCGTAGGTCACTGAAGTCCTTCGACTGTCGGTTAGTACCTTCTAGCAACCTCTGATGGCTATCGGAGGTCTTCAAAGGACACGAAGAAACGGAGGTCTGAGAAAATTGGAGGATGGTCGAAGATAGTTGATAGACTTTGAAGCAACCGCAACTTAACAGATATTTAGCTGTTCCAGTCCCTCGTTAGAATCAAGAATATTATAGAAGTATCGCGGGAATGCTAATAATTTCCGCAAAATGTGGTCTACATGCACGAATTCCTAGGTCCTCTGACGCTAACACGCAATATTTATGGCTACACAACTACTCGAACTATTCCAAATATCTGCATTTAGGAATATGAATTGGAATATTCGGGTATTCTAAGAATCGCCGCGTTTCAAAAGACTAAGAAATCTACGAAAGGTTTCCTGGAAGAATGCGATGAAATAAATACAGCGGTCTGGCCTTGTTTACATGTTCGTCCATGGAATCTAGCGGCGTTTAACTGGGAACAATGCCTTTGGTCTGCACTACACGCAATAATAACGTCCGGAGGGACAACGAAATCTACATTCTGTGGGAACGGGAATTATGAGACAGAACGTGTCGGGAGGGAGGACTCGCCGAGCAGCGTGGCTCGTGTCGATAAATCTCCGGAGTCTCTCTCTCACCGCGGCAACTTCCTACGACGCGGCGGCGGAGGCCGTGTCGGCTCGTTCGCTTGATTAATCGTGTTTAAACTAGTCGCCTCCACGCCAATTAAGACTGTACAACGCGCGGCGCAAGAAGAGCAAGAAGGGCCGGGGCTAGAAGAGACACTCCCTCTAGTAACCGAGCCAGTCGGAGGAAAGCCAGGAACCGTTCCCGACGGTGAGACCAGCGCCAACGCAAGGCGCTGCCAATCGCTCGAGGGACAACAATAAATTAGTATCGGGCCGATGCGTGTCTCAAATAAGACGCCAGCATTCTTTGACTGATTGCCGGTTGTTAATATGAGGAATCCTGGTTGGATCGATCCACGAGTAGACTGATGTTGTGAGACCCTTGCGCGTCGATGATCGATTATTTTAGAGAAATTATCGTTGTAAAGAATGATTCTAAATTGATGTGAGATTTGTAAGAGTTTTATATTTATTGCCTCATGTTTAAAGGAAAAATTGAGAATATGTTAACTATAACTACTTGTCTTTTTAAATGCATTTTTTGAAAGAACTACTCTCGAGAGTAATTTAGACTTTATCAGAAGTGACAACAGTCGATTAAATAGCATTAATCGTTCGCTACCGTCATTTTTACTCGATGCGATATATTCAGTTTCTTAATGAACTTAATTATCTTTAATGTATCTGTGAGGCATAAGAAACAAGTACTCACTCGTACCCAATTATATACATAATTTATCTTTTGCACCTTACAAAATCACTTATAATCTTTCCCCTTCTGCACAGTCGTAATTAACTGAGAAGATAAAAACATTGAATCGAAAGTAAACCAGCGAAAATCTCAGGATGAAACGGCTTCTAAACAAAACAACGGCAATGAACGATTAACGTAATTTAGCAACTAATAAACACACGCAACTCGGTGCAAGTTCATAGCGCAAACCGTAAAATTATGATCCCTAATTAATTCCGGTCATTAAGACGCGACAATAATAAAACAAATTCAATTTACAGTCCGAAGGTAGATACGGAAGATCGAGTAACGGGTAACCGTCCAAGTAAACGATAGCCTGAATATCGGAGTCAATTAATTATGTCACCGGGTTCGCGATAAACTACCCTCCTTCTCCCCCTGCCTGTCTCCGTTCCCGCTGCTTCTCCCGCAGTCCAATTTTGCGAGGGTTAACTGTCGGGCATTTACCATGAAAACACCCGGCAGTAAATCGCATCTTGCGTGTGCGGCGTGCAACGCGGTTCGGATTTCCTCGCGGGACACGCGGATTGGTATAATTAGACTGGTTTACGGCGGTCGATCGTCGACGGGGCCGGTTCAGGGTACAAGCCAAACGAGGGCAGCTGGCTGCGTTATCCTTCGGCGTTGCTCGCCCGTTACGGCCATGTTACTTTGTCGTTAGGTTGCACGAAGACGAAGCTCTGAGAGACGAGGATCGTAACCGGGCATCGGCGAACCGCTGCGCCCCTCGCCCGGGTCAAAACCCAATTTAAGCCGGATTCTCGGTCTATCCGCTGAAACGGCCCGCCGTTAACCACCATCAAAGTACTATCCGATAGGTCTTGCATGCTGATCTTCACAGGAATGTTTCATCGGAGTCTAACGATCGACCGCATCGACCGACAGTCAGAAGCTAGCCCACGACCATGAAAGGCTACCATCGAACCGTTGGTAACCGCGGATTGCGGGTATAGAAAGTTAGTTACGAGTGTTATGATAAATAGCCGTTTCGTGGCCTTAACGGGCCGAGTCTGATAGGGGAATACTTTATAACGCTGTGTTGATCGCGAAAGATAGTAACAGTATTAAACGAATAGTCCGATAATTCTGTTGGAGTTGCTGGATTAAGTTCAATGAATAATAACAGCTTAATAAGAAAACGAGACCGACTGTAGGATTCTTTCATTAGAAAGCTGGGTGCCAGTCAACTGAGACACTTCCCAAGTTTTCCTACATTTTCCGACTCCTCCATATAGCTCGAGATCGTTCCCAATTCCACTTCATATCCATTACACTGAAACAATTTTCTCAAGGTGGTAGAATCACGTTAAACGATAGTTTTAATGACACAGCTAGATATGATCCATGTTCTAGTTTCTATCTGTCTTACACAAATACCGTTCACGGGCGAGGCCCATAATACACTTTAGGCCGCGATCACTTCCCAGAACCGACAAAAGGCAAGGACAGTCGTAAAATGTACCCGGCGATTCCATCGCAGACGGCGTCTGGCCCTAGCGTCTCGGTTTCCTTGGCGATGGAGATAGTGTAGCGACCCTCTAGCAATCTCCGCCGGCTTCTAAATCCGAGTTCCCCTACCCTAGCACCGTTGTCAAGGAAACTGAGACGACAAGCCTCAAGCTATCCACTGCGATCCGTGTGAATCCGAGTTCCCTCTCTTTTACCAACGCCGTTGTCCTTTGTTAGCAATGATCGGCGGAGGAGGTGCGAAACGCTGCCTCTCGCGGCGAGTCCGATTCACTCACGGACGAGACCCGTTGTCCCGCGTCGTAAAGAGCATTAATCTTCGGTTACTACCGCGTTGACATAAATACTGTGAAATTACATTGGTCGCGGTACACCCGCTCGTATTTTCAACGACGCGGCGGTCAACGATCGCTGGCGGGGGTAAGTGACCATGACCGATGAACTCTTTTTGGACCGAACGATTGCGAGAACGAAATCTGGTTCGGGTTACGACCGCAACCCCTATAAGCAACGAACGGGTGCTCCGGATTCAATGAGCACCACTGAACTCTTAGAGCCATTAGTTATGCACAGTAGGTGCGCAAGATAAATATACGGATACACGTGCATCGGTTGCGGGCCAGCCCGCGTATACACACACATGAGGGCGAATACAGGTGCACGCGTGAGCGCGGGGTAACAGGCCAATGTGAAGTCGGTGCGGCGAGGATGCAATTAATGCTAAGAAGCCAAGCTGGTTTAGCGGTCGAGCGGGCATGATTATCCTGGATAGGGAAAACGGTGGACTCCGGGCTACAGTAAACGAGCGAGACAAAGACTGGGGGAGAAGGATGGAGGAAGGGAATGAGAGTATAGAAGGCGAGGAGAAAGGTAGACACGGACTTAACCGGAATTAGTGTTACAGAATGGTGATTCCTTACCATCACGTAATGTCGCTGAATCTCGATTTTCTCTGTGGCCAGTTTCTCGCACTCGAGTTTCAATCTGTGAACAGAGGGAAAAAGAAACGGAAATGAATTAAATGATTTTTCACAGGATACGGGCGTGAGCACGATATCGCGTATGATAGCTAGTTCTTTATCAGTCGCGTGTTAGGTCGCGCAACGGTTAGGCGGTGGTAAATTCGAAATACATTAACGACGACCTTTACGTTCCACCGCGTTAGTACAACGTTAATACTAATTATCGCCAGCTGTGCGTACATAACCGCGCGTACATACGAAACCATTTATATCGTATTCTAACCGCTCGGCAATCAAGCCGTTTAAATTGTATGTACTTTATTCAGTCGCAGTAGAACTGGCCAGACAGCCGGCTAGGTAGCGATGGGATCGATTCGAGACGCTGGTGGAAATATAACTGTTCCGAATGAAAGATTCACTTTGAATCTATTGGGGATTGTTAATATGTGCGACTTGTTGCGAAGCGTCAGGTGTACTTTTCGTTTAACTTGTACATGAATTGATATTGTAAAACTGTCCGTAATCGTTCTTTATACAAAAAGATTTCAAATTTAATCATACAAAAGAATGGTATTCTACATTTTTTACTTATAATTCTCGAAACGATTGTAATAATTCGCTATTGTCTAGCTCCAGCAAGTAAAGAAAAGAACAGATGCTCGAACAAACAACAGAAACAATTTCCTAGTAAAATGCCACTGCATTTTAAACATCCAGTATGTTCCCCCTTCGCGGAATCGTTCCCAAGCCGATATCAAAAACGTAAGAACCAGATACCGTCGTTCTGAAATGTTACGAACGTTTCAATCGTCTGGTCTTTTAAATCATCGACCTATAGACTCCTCTACCGTCTGTGAACTTCAAAGGTGGTAGCAGCCGAGGAAAAACGGAAGAAGGGGCATAGAGGGTAATGGTGGCAGACGTAAAAAGAAAGAGCCTGAAACTTCCGGTAGAGTCTAACGTGAGTTCCACGTAGGAACAATGAAAGTTTCGATCTGCGAAACTGCTGAAAAATGCAGCCACCCGCCAGGGCTTTTCCTTAATTCCGTATTCGCGTCGGTTGTACAGTCGCGCACGGGTGTCATTACGTGTCTGCCAATAGCCGCGCTGTCGTAAATCACTTATGGCTTTTGCGGATCGCGTGCAGCCAAGGAAGCAGCTGCATCGGTTCTCAGGCTATTCCGATCCGCGGCGTGTATCACGCTGGTTACGTATGCAACACCGAGACAAAAGATGGAGTAAGCCAAGACGATCGGGCAGGTGCGCGTTCAATCGCGTTTCACCGGGATCAGTTTCTTTCCTTCTCGCACAAGCCGCACCGAAATATGCGACCGAAATATGCGACCGAATTTATCGTGCTCCTTATCGATAAATACCTTCACACGTTAACACTAAAACTACCGAGCAATTAGAGTGACTTATTTCCAATTCCCTATAAAAATTAGAACAATACATTTCATGAGATTCGAAAAGACTCCTTTTCTTGTATCTATAGAAATACACAAATTTAATTTATTTTTCCTGAATACACAAATTTAATTTGTTTTTCCTGAATACACAAATTTAATTTGTAGAATGAACTGTATTGCGTTAAATACGATTTACAAGATACCTAAAAAGTTGAAGCTCTGTCGTGGAAAATGAAGTTAACACAAAGACCGGAATTTGTTTGTATAAGTTTTTCGTTTTCGAGGAAAATTTGCATTAACAAGTCTATCTTTTCAGTTTATTATTGATATAATAAAGAGAATGATGTACAAACAGCAATTTGTAAGTTTGGTCTCTTTTCTTCGGAACACCTTGTACGTGATCGATTCTATAAACTTATACCAGGGAGACATTCTTTAAGATTAGCTGCACGCGTCACTCCACCTGTTTAAATATTAATTCCAAAAAGGGACGTTCGAGACTCGTAAAAGGAACGACTTCGTTCAAGTGGAAACCTTTAAGGGCGACTTGTGTTTTTATGTTCCTATTCACATTCATCCGACGACTCTCGCCACAGGTGCGTCATATAAGAGTTCTAAATCGATTTCATTTGAATTTTATCCTCTGACGCTTTCAAAATACAGGTTGTTGGGTTTAACAATTTCCGAAAATTGTATTTACAATTTTTTTCGTCGTGCGACACCTAATTTGGAAATTTAACTGAATAGTAGAAAGTTACGACTTTACACAAAGAATCCGTTGACACGTAACATCGTATACCATGATAAAGTTTTTACAACTCATAAATTATAGTGAAACTTATTTTATACTTACGCGTGGCATTGGTTCTGCAAGAAATTAAATTCCTCCTTAATCCTGTCGCAGGACTCTCCGACAGTGAATTTAATTTGTTGTCCAGGTTGCGGTGGACCCTGCAATAAATACCCAAATTTAATATTACTTATTTACATTACTAAGGAGGAATGAGTTAGCGAAGAAGCAAAATTTTTGACAATTCATATTTCTTACATCAACGTTCATACATTTATAGAAATTCACAAGGAATAAAAAACACGTTTCATTATTATTTCAGACAAGGAAAATTGAATCGAAATGAAAAACTACACTTTTGCCGATAAATATGAAAGTGGCAACCGTGAATTCGACAGCAGGACGTCTTCGAACACTGCACGGAAACTTCATATTATGTATTTTGCAGAGATTTGTTTTATAGTAACCATTAACCACTGCCATGGTAAATTATAGCTTGCAACCGGAAAGCAGTGGGTGTAGTAGCTTGACTGTCTAACTACGCATGATATTGCGTTATAACGCGGTGGCAGTGCATGAAACACTGACAAAACTACTCGATCTAAACTTTGTTTTATTTATCGAGGCGCACGTTACACGGAAACCGTCAATGGAAGATAATACATCATTATCTTTTTACTGGGTATTCAAGGATGTAACGCTGCCAATAAACAACGGCAGAAGTACGCGTTATAGTCGTCCATTCCAGAGATCAATTTCACCGAGATCGCGCTTAACCTAAACCAGCAACCTTTTTACTTAGAAACTTTTATATAATTCTACAAATTGAGGTTGCTCTTGGCCGGCTACAATCTAACTATCCTTTTTAAATATCGAATTAAATTTTATTTGCGCAATAAATTTTCCGTCTACGCCGACCGATTTATAACCCTCATTATCTACAACCTTTTAATCAAGTTCCTTATAATTAGATCATTCCGAAATAATGCCGCCTAAAAAGAAGACAATAGCATTGGCATGTGTTGCAGGAAATTGAAATCCTACTAACTTTCACTTTTTCTCAATTTGAAAGAATTGAAGAACATCCAGAAATTAATTGTCACCAAAATTTCCGCAAAATGAAACGTGAAATTCCTATCCAAACAACTGTCGCAAACAATTATTATCCTATATCCAATGATTCAACTGGTAAATATATTCTCAAACAAAACCATTATATTTCTTACTTTATTTCTAACGTCACACTTGTACCGTCAATTACACCTTGTACGTATTCACAAGCATATCCAAGCTTTCTCCAAAAATAACACGAAAATAAACTAGCGTAAGTAAGCGATGAGCAAGACCGTTGCCAATCGCTTAGGCGGAATAAAACGAATTTGAAGTTGCAGGGAACGTTTCTGAGCACGCCCCTAGCAAATTCTCGTTCGTCGGGACAAGAAAAGTACGGTGTGCGCGAGCGGGCGCGTCAAATCCCGCCGCATTGTATAATTAATTTCGCGCAGCTGTTCGCCGCGAAGGAGACGAATGGGTGCAGGAAGTAATGCGTTAGTCGATTCGCGGCTCGGCGATCTGATGGCGGAATGAAGAGCGGCGGGGAAGAGAGAGAGAGAGAGATGGAGAGAAATGATCGTCGTCGGCGGCGCGGAGGCGTTTGCACGCCGCGTCGAGCAGCCGGTAAACAGTAAAAGACGTTTAACCGCCATCGGCAATCGTGCACGCGTGGATGAACACACAATGTAACGTGCAACATAACGCGATAACAAGATTGCTGCTGGCAGGTGGATCACCGCGCCGGGGGCTCGACGATTTCCAAGCGAACCATCTCGCTCGACGGAATTCTCTGGTCTTTCGAGAGCCGAATCAGTGATTCGCGTCCTACGTTCAATCAATCTTCGGAGCTTATTGTATTCAGTTATAAATTAGTTGACTTCTATTTCACAAGCGTTTCGCTTGGAACTCGAATTAACTTCAATGGTCGGGTAGATGACCCGATTAGTACATTGATTATTCTTCGACGCTCGCGTACATTCGTGTTTCGGAAGTGTTCAATTCGCAGTTATTCGAGCTTCGAGGGATAGTTAGTTTTCTACGTTTGTAACATTCGCAAATCTCGTCCAAATGTCGCGAGGGACAATTAAGAACAGACTTCGATATGAAAAATTATAAACTCTGAATTTGCAAAGTTAATTAAAGTTATTAAAGGTTAAGATTACGATGCTTTCGTCGTTTGAGTTTTATATCGGGTGTCGTCGTCAACATAAACTTCAATCGGCACAATAATCTACAGTAAGATTCAATAACGAGACATAGTCAAGTGAACGCGTAACGAATATTCGAAGTCAATTTTCCCGAAAATAAAGACATCTTATGAAACAATTTTATTCTACATTTTCGACTTAATTTTTGTACATAGAATTAGCCCTTATCCAGTTGCACCACCAGTTTGCACACGACACTCTGTATAAAACTCAAACAACAATAATATCGCAATCTTAACCCTTATCACTCTAAGAATATCATAGAATGATTGTCAGATACACCAAATAAATTTTATGAAATCCAAAAACCAAATTTCATTATGAATGTTACATAAGCATAAAATAATATTAAAGAACTGGAAATTAATTGGTACATATTCTACTGTTGCAATTATGTTTGATGTATCCGTGTTCGTCAGTGAGATTACCGACTGGAATGATAAGGGTTAACTTCTGTTTAATCAATCCCTTAAAAAATCTTCGTAAACCCCCACTAAACATAATTTAGCTAGAAATATTAGCCCTCAAGTTTCAAATGCAATGCGTGCCATCCTCGTCATTGAACTCGATCCGTAAAGGTGTCTGCCACCCGATTTATCGGCTCGTAACTTTCACGGTGGTGTCTTTCCGACGTCAATCGATTTCCGCGAGAGTTCAACAGAGATACAGCCCGGTTAACGTGGTCTCGGTTGTAGGGAGCATATCCGACACGATCTACAGGTCGGTCGAAGGACGCGGCTTGCGTAGGCAGGGCTGCGAGCGTAGTTAACAGAACCCTCCTCCCTTTCCTCTGTACACACCTGCGCACCGACCGTGGCGCTCGCGTGGACCCCACCGCACAAGCGCCACGGGTCGCGTACATACGTGTGTGTGAGCGCCGCTCGCAAGTTCATAGTTTCGGTTGTAGCGTGTAATCCTCGCGGACACCGCAAACATGTAATTAACACTTGCTCTCTCTCTACGAGCCGTTTCAGTCAGTCGAGATCGTGTTGACTGTACCCCGGGCATGACTGTATATCCCGTGTAAACGTGCGCGAGGGCGAACGCTCTCGCGCGCACGTTCAACGGTGTAACGAACGAGGTCTATTGCCACGAAACGTCTCGAGACATCAAATGTTTTCTCTGGCGAAATTTCGTGTTGATTTTCCGCTGGGATTGCCGAGTAAAGTTTGGTGGCACAGGGTTCTTGGGAAATTCATTTTCGAGCAACGAGGAACCTCGAGGTTATCGATTGTTATTACTAAAAAAAGGATTCTAGATGAAAACATTTATTCCGGTACTGTAAAATCCTGAAGGCGGTTTCTCCTACCGCTTGGTTTTCAAATATTTTTCTATGTAAAAAGTTCTATTTTCTATGTAATCCAGATTTTGTCAAAAATGGTAGTCTGTTAGGGCAAGGTCTGGTGAGTATGGAGGACGAAAAAGCGTTTGTAACTTCAGTTCCTGCAATTTTATCAACGTGATTTTTGCTATGAGTGGTTGAAGAAAAATCGGCATGTCTCTATTCACTATCTTTGGTTGTTAAATACAAACTGGCGCAACATCTCTTGCATTTGGGCACAGTAGATCTCTGCTGTTATCGCTGTACCACATTTCGTGAAGCTATAATGGATAACACCTCTGCTATTCGACCAAGTAGGCATTATAACCTTCTTTTGCTGTATGCTTGGTTTGGGATGGTACCCTGGTTTACATCCAACCACTTGTGCGATCGTTTACAATTATTGTACAGGATTCATTTCTCGTCACAGGTTACAATTTGATGCACAAATGGATCGTTATTCTACAGCAAAAGTAGAGAAATGCAAACTTCTGTACGTTGTTATTTTTTATCAGGAGTGAGTTCATGGTGCACCTACTTATCTATTTTTTTTTTAATTATCAAGACTCACAAAAATGACTACAGAAAAACCGCAAGTGAAGTTAAGATAATAAGCTGGACCAATTGAAATACCAGAGAAATCCGTCTTTCGAACGAAACGAACATGGCGGAAAAATATCACTTTGTTGCTGAATGGCGCCCATTGTAAATCTCGCTATACATATTATGAAATTTCATACTTAACGTCCTAATAGTTTACTAGAGTTAGCGTGTATAATGAACTCGTTCTATTTTGAATTCTTGGAGTGTTTGATTTTTTGTGAATTAGCTGCAGAATAGCGCAGTTGCGTAAACGATAACAAACTGCAGTTAATGCTAATAACTTTCGCAATTATTGTACGTGATGACAGGAGCATCTGTTTTATATCGGGTGTAATCACAAATAATTAATACGTGCGCCGGACGAAGCATGTTTTACTTAAACTCGTCTAAAATCAATGAACAAATGAACGGATGATTTCGAATTAAATATTATTAAGTAATTGGGGATAATAAGTGCTGCAAGTACAGGTAATCTGGAAGCTATTTTAAAAGTAGTGAAATAAGATCCTTAAAACAACAGCAAATTACTGCTCTTACAGAAGTCATTGTTTTTCTGTTAATTCGAGCTTAGATGACTGAACAGTAATCACGATAATGATAATGGAGAATAAATAACATGACTCACTAATTGTAGCATAATCTAGAACGAAATTATTTCTTGTACAAAAACGCCAAAAATGCAGAACGCAATTTTTCCATAAAAGCTTTCAAATAAAGTAATGCTCGACATTATTTACTATGTCCACTTAACACATTTCCGATCAGTAAAATCTTTACTTTTCCGAATTTCCTTAATACAATATTCTGCTGGTGAAACGAAAGCGAAATTATATAATTTATCTTAAATATCCTATATACACCTACTTCCTTCTTGTATTCGAAACAGACTTTCCGCTAGTAAATCACATTTGAAAACCAGAAATACATTAACTAAAAGTGAAAGCACAAACAGAGTCAAGATACATTTCCAAAGTCG